TCTGGCTGTTTCTGCTTATGTGGTGCTGAGGAATCGAACCCAGGGCCTCATGCATGCAAGGCAAGCACTCTACCACTGAGCTACCTTCCCAGCCCATGTACCCATTCTTAAAATAACCAAAGAAAAATCAGTTTTAAAAAGCCCAACTATCAGTCCAGGCAATATTGACATTGTAGCTTGACTGGTTCTTGGTAGAGTATAAATATGTGGGCATTGTACAATTCCTTACAGATCCAGCTTGGTTCTCCGCCAGTGTCTTCTCTTGGAGTTGTACCTGATTTTGTTCTTGAGTCCACTAGGGGAGTGGGGCAATTTTGTTTTTGTTTCTTGGCCAGAAACTGCTTGATGCTGAAAGACCTGGGAGAAGTCTTGGTGAGAACCCCAGTAACTAGGATGGCAAACAAAAGCTGAAGAGTCAGTCTTAGATTGTTGGTTCAAAAACAACCTCAGAGAAGAATGAATTAAATCTGGAGATATGATCTCAAGTAGCACTTGCCTAACAAGCAGGAGACCTTGGGGCTGGGAAGGTAGCTCAGCGGTAGAGTGCATGCCTTGCAAGCATGAGGCCCTGGGTTCAATTCCTCAGCACCACATAAACAGAAAAAGCCGAAATTGGCGCTGTGGCTCCAGTGGTAGAGCTCTAGCCTTGAGCTGAAGAGCTGAGGGACAGTGCCCAGACCCAGAGTTCAGGCCCCATGACTGGCAAAAAAAAACCCCAAAAAAACAGCAGGAGACCTTGGGCTTAATACCTGGCTTCCCCACCCAGAAAACAAGATGTTGTTTAAGTTAGTACTCTGACTCATGTTTCAAACATTTAAAACTCAGCAATTTCTTCCATCAATGATCTTGCCTTTACTTTGATGACCCATACTCATATTTCAAGTCTTTAACTGACAATCTACTTTGTGCTATTTTGCTAGTACATCTACATTCAAGAGCTTACACTGGTCTTTCTGTGTAATTTAAGGAAGTTTTGTTTTAGAAACTCTCCCTTAAAATATGTACTTAAATCCTATCTGTTAATCTTGATCACAAAACAGATAAATAACACTGAGCTAGAGGTAATCTAGCACAATCTTGAAGAAAGTTAAGTGATCCAAATTCTTCTGTAGACTAAATAACTGGAGCTCCTTTTCTTTTTTGTCAAACCTCATGTTTTACTTTTTTACTCAGTGAGGACCTTTCAAGGATTATTCAAATGCCTTTGGTAAAAGAAACTCATTCTATTCTTCCATATTTGTGCCCAGTCTACTGTTTTCTGCAAATGTTTGCTGTATTTAACAAAGTGGGAAAATAAACAGTATATTTTACAGTTGTGTTAGTTGAGATTTGTGTGTGTGTGTGTGTGTGTGCGCGTGCGCGCACGCACGCGCGTGCACACGCACTAGTGTGCTCATTCTGGAGCTTGAACTCCAGGCCTGTGTGCTGTCACTGAGCTTCTTTTGCTCAAGACTAATGGTCTACCACTTGAATCGTAGCTCTGCTTCCAGCTTTTTGGTAGTTTATTGTATGGATTTTCCAGCCTGGGCTGGCTTTGATATGTGCTTCTCAGATCTCAGCCTCCTGAATAGGTAGTATTACAGGTGTGAGCTACCAGCACACAGTCAGTTGGCATTTTATTATGTTTTTTTTTCTAAACCTACTTTCTTTTTCATTTAGTTCTCTCTTTTCCTTCCTTTCTCTCCTTTTCTTTTTTGATGGTTGTATTAGTGATAATGGGGGTTTAGACTCAGGATTTCTATTGCTAGATAGGTGCTCTACCACTTGAGCCCTTTTCTGTCTGGTTATTTTTGAGATAAGGTCTGACTTTTTGACCAAGACAGTCTGGACTTCAATCCACCTATTTATTACTGGAATGACAATTACTTGCCACTATGCCCCTCCAACTTTTGTTTATTTATTTTTATTTATTTTGGTCAGTCATTGGGCTTGAACTCTGGGCCTGGGCACTGTCCTCAGCTCTTCAGCTCAAGACAAGTGCTCTACCACTTGAGCCACAACACCACTTAAACTCCTCCATATTTTGTTGGGGAAGGAGGCATGTTCTCACAAACTTTTTTACTGGAGTTGGCCTACAATCACTATCTTCCCAGTCTCAGCCTCCTGCATAGCTGAGAAAACAGATGGGAGCCACCCAGCTATTGGTTGAGATGAGGAGCTCAAAATATGTTCCTCCTGATCTCAGCCTCAAGGGGCTAGAACTATAGATGTAAGCTATACTGCACACAAACTCATTTTCTAATTTTATCATTATTATTTAAAACCTAACTTCTTTTTTTTTTGGGTCCGGTCGTGGGGCCTGAACTCTGGGCCTGGGCGCTGTCCCTCAGCTCTTCAGCTCAAGGCTAGCACTCTACCACTTGAGCCACAGCACCACTTCCGGCTTTTTTCTTTTTGCTTATGCGGTGCTGAGGAATCGAACCCAGGGCCTCAGGCATGCAAGGCAAGCGCTCTACCACTGAGCCACCTTCCCAGCCCCTAAAACCCAACTTCTTTTAAATGTCTGAGAACTTAAATTATCTCAGGGATAACAGCAGTAAATAGCTTTCAATAAAATACCCTAGCAAACTGAGGGCCACCCTAACATAGAAAAATTCAGACTCTTATTCAAATATCGTAATGGGTCCATAGCTTCAATTACTACCTTTGGAATGTTCACTTTTTTTTTTTTCTTCTTTTTTGTTGTTGTTGGTTGTGGGTGGGGCTTGAACTCAGCGCCTGGGCACTATCCCTGAGCTCTTTTGCACAAGGCTAGTTAGTGTTCTACCACTATGAGTCACAGCTCCACTTCCAGTTTTTGAGTGATTAGTTGGAGATAAGAGTCTTGCTAGAACTTTTCTGCCTGGGCTGACTTAACACTTTGATCCTTAGACCTCAGCCTCCTGAGTAACTAGAATTACAGGCATGAGCCACCAACACCAGGCTGTTCACTAAATGGGAGAGTCCTCACTTAGGAGAGCTGAGAATGAAGTATTCCCTTAAGCAATTAAGCAGACTACAGAGACCAGGGTGAGAAGTAGTGTTTTAATGAGGGTAAGTCACGCCCTTCAGCTTGAATGAACTGGTGTCCCACCTCAGATGTAGGCCAAGAGCTTACCACCCCTCATTTAGGTCACTAGGAACAAATGAAATGATTGTAAATTGCATAAACTTGGAAATTCTATCTTTCTCTTAGATGACATTTTGGCAGGAATATTCAATTAAAGGACCAACCACAAAATCAGGTAAGGCAAGACCTGAAAAACTTGAATGTTTTCCTTGCTCTCAATGTATTGTAATGCATTTTAGTTTTGTATTTGAGTTTGGCTGTTGTTCAACATACATACCTTCTAAACCCAAGGAATATTTCTCAATTATATACTGGGCTATCTGAGGCACAGAAGGTTACCTTCATCTATTTATATACTGAAAAGCAAGTTTGGTGAGATATTAGAGAAATGAGATAATCAACATAAAGCTGTTTTAAACCTCTCAGTTATAAGTCAAGACTTGTAAGACAGAACAAGTAGAACTCTTAGTTTCAAGTTGTGAACTCATTTAACTTTTTCTTTTTTTATCATTACAAATGAATGGAGGGCTGGGATGTAGCTCAGTGGCAAAGCACTTGCCTAGCAAGCGCAACGTCCTGGGTTTGATCCCCAGTACCAAAAAAGAAAAGACAAAAAAATACAGTTAAAAAAAAAACAAATGAATGGAATACTTGTGCTAGGTAAATTAAGATGGTTGGATAGGAGCTGTAGCTGTAGCGCAGTGATAGATTGCAAGACCCTAGGGTCAATCTTCAGCATGGAAAAAAAAGAAGAGAAAATAAAAGGGAGGGAGAGGAAAAAAGAGAGGGAAAGAGAAGGGGATGGGAAGGGAGAGAGAGGAGAAAAAGACAAGGAAGGAAGGAAGGAAAGAAAAAAGGTTGACTAGAATTACATTTTTTCTGTCTTTTGTTAGTACTGGGGTTTGAACTTAGTGATTCTAGGTTTGCTAGGTAGGCACTCTACTACTTGAGTCATGACCCTATTTGTCTTTGCCTTCATTAAGTTTTGAATAAGATCTCATATTTATATATAGACAGATTTGGACCTTGATCCCTCTATTTATACTTTCCACATTGCTGAGATGAGTAGTTCCTGCCACTACACCTAGCTTTGATGAGTTATGCTAACTTTTTGTGCTGATGAGTTTTGAACCTCTACCCTCAAGCTCTCTACCTTCTAGATACCTAGCATTACAGGGAGGACCCACTGAGCCCAGCCCAGAAATTAAACTACTAGTAGGGAAAGGAAAACCCTTTATCTTTATAGCTCACCTGGGCGCTGTCCCTTAGCTCTTCAACTCAAAGCTAGCATTCTACCACTTGAGCCACAGTGCCACTTCCAGCTTTTTCTGCTTATGTGGTGCTGAGGAATCGAACCCAGGGCCTCATGCATGCAAGGCAAGCGCTCTACCACTGAGCCACCTTCCCAGCCCTCTTTTTTTTTTTTTTTGTCAGTTGTGGGGCCTGAACTCTGGGCCTGGGTGCTGTCCCCCAGCTCTTCAGCTGTAGACCAGCACTCTACCACTTGAGCCTCAGCCTCACTCAGGCTTTTTCTGCTTACATGGTGCTGAGGAATCGAACCAAAGGCCTCATGCATGCAAGGCAAGCACTCTACCACTGAGCCACCTTCCCAGCCCTCTTTCTGAGTTTTTTAAACTTCTTTTAAATTTTCTTTTTGTGCTGATACTGGGGTTTGAACTCAGGGCCTGAGTGCTATCACTTAGCTTTTTCACTCAAGACTGGAACTCTAATCTTCTGAGGCATACCTCCACTTCTGCCTTTTTGCTGGTTTCATGGAGATAAGGGTCTCATGTGTTTTTCTGCCCAGATTGGCTTTGAACTATGATTCTTAGATCTGTCTCCTGAGTAGCTAGGAAAGCAGGTGTGAGCCACTGGTATCCAGTCTACTTGTTTTTTTGTTTTTGTTTTTGTTATTTTTTGGTCGGTCGTGGGGCTTGAACTCTGGACCTGAGCACTGTCCCTCAGCTCTTCAGCTCAAGGCTAGCCCTCTACCACTTGAGCTACAGCGCCACTTCCAGTTTTCTTGTGGTTTATTGGAGATAAGAGTCTCACGGACTTTCCTGCCTGGACTGGCTTTGAACCATGATCCTCAGATCTCAGCCTCCTGAGTAGCTAGACTTACAGGCGTGAGTCAGTGGTGCCCGGATTAGATGTTTATTTTTGTTAATTATTCTTTCATTCCTTTTAAGTAAGACCATCCTCACCAAAGGAGACTACCTTGTATAGCTACACCAAATTGTTCCATAAATTGATTTGAGTAGTTAATGCCAAAATGTGTCCAGTTGAGCAAAGAATAGGCTTATTAACTTACTGTTGGATATTATCCACTTCATATGATCTACTTAAATGATTAAGTCTCTTCAAAGTATCATTTACATTGTTTTTCAGGCAGATTCTCTAGCACAGACTTCTCTTTTTCATGGTATTAGCAATTGAATTGAGGGCTTTGCGCTTGTAAGGCAAATGCTCTATACCTTGGGCCATTTTCCTACCCTTTGTTGTTTAAGTTTTTCAAATAGGGTCTTGCAATTTTGCCCAGACTGGACTCAGATATCAACCTTCCTACAATTCCTGAGTAGCTGGAATTGCAGGAATGAGCCACCATGCTCAGCTAGCTGTACTACAGAATTTTTAAAAGTCACTATCAGCCTGGTACTGGTGGATTATGCCTATAATCTTAGCTGCCCAGGAGGCTGAGATCTGAGGATCATGGTTCAAAACTATCCCAGGCAGGGAAGTTCATAAGAAACTTATCTTCAGTTAAGCACCAGAAATCAGAAGTAAAGCTGTAGTTCAAGTAGTAGCATGCCAGCCTTCAGCAAAAAGGGACAGTGCCCTAGCTCTGAGTCCAAGCCTCAGTACTGTTATAAATAAATATATATAATCAATAATTATATACTTCATAATGTGTCAAATTTATTGAAATGGTAGATGATGCATTTTCATTGTTGTGTTTTAGTTATAAAATATATTTATTTTAACTATTTCTTTTAAGATGTTAACAGAGAGAAAATTGATGTTATGGGTCTTCTGACTGGACTAATTGCTGCTGGAGTATTTTTGGTTATTTTTGGATTACTTAGCTACTATTTTTGTATCACCAAGTGTAATAGACAACCAGACTTGTGGTAAGTAAAAGTATTCAGTTCATTTATACTTTCTATATCATTATTTTACAATATATCAAACAAATGGCTGCCTATTATTTAAAAAGGAAATAAACTAGAATATAATCAGGTAAGTTGCAAAAGCAGAGATTTCCCATATAGCCTTGAAGCAGTTTTTTCTACTTTTACTAATTATGCCATTGGCCAGAGGTAGCCCTAGACAAAGATCCTTCTCTCTGGGATCCTAGTGGCTGAAACCACAGGGGCATACCATCATGGCCAACTTAGTGATTAACAGTGTCTCACTAACTTTTTGGGCTTTGAACCATTTTAAAAGATGATTGTACAACTATCCAAGTATAAATGCAATATAATGCAGAACAATAAGAAACAAAAGAGCTGGGCACCAGGGGCTCACACCTGAAATCCAACCTACTCAGGAGGCTGAGATTTGAGGATTACTGTTTGTTTTGTTTTTGTTTTTGTTTTTGGGTCCGGTCGTGGGGCCTGAACTCTGGGCCTGGGCGCTGTCCCTCAGCTCTTCAGCTCAAGGCTAGCACTCTACCACTTGAGCCACAGCACCTCTCCGGCTTTTCTCTTTTTTCTTATGTGGCGCTAAGGAATCGAACCCATGGCCTCAGGCATGCAAGGCAAGCACTCTACCACTGAGCCATCTTCCCAGCCCCCGAGGATCACTGTTTGAAACTACTCTTTTTTGTTGTTGTTGTTGTGGGGCTTGGAGGCCTGGGGATTGTTCCTCAGCTCTCAGCTCAGGGCTATGGCTCTACCACTTGAGCCACAGGACCACTTCTGGTTTTCTGGTGCTTTATTCGAATTAAGAGTCTCATGGACTTTCCTGCCTGGGCTGGCTTTGAACTGCAGTCCTCAAATCACAGCCTCCTGAGTAGCTAGGATTGCAGGCGTGAGCCATCGGCGCCTGGTGAAACCAGACTCTTATCTCCCATTAACCATCAAAAAGCTGAAAACGAAGTTGTGGCTCAAGTGGGTGAACATTGGCCTTGATCAAAAAGACTCTTACTTCTTGAATCACCTCTCTACTTCCAATTGCTTTTTGGTGGTTATTGGAGATAGGAGTTGCAAGACTTTCCTGTCCTGGCTGACCTGCAATAATTTTTTAAAACGTACTTGATAAAAAAAAAAAAAAAAAAAAAAAGCATTGTGCTGCCAAGCACTGACAGCCCACACCTGTAATCCTAGCTATTCAGGAGGCTGAGATCTACGAATTGAGGTTCAAAGGCAGCCCAGGCAGGAAAGTCCAAGAGACTCTTATCTCTAATTAACCACTCAAAAACCACAAGTGGAGCTGTGGCTCAAAGTGGCAGAGTGCTAGCCTTGAGCAGGCAAGCTTGCCCATGGACCAGAAAGAAAAAGTACTGTGCTACCAGTTGCCCATGGCTCATGCCTGTAATCCTAGCTACTCAGGAGGCTCCAAGCTCCAATATAGAGGATCATGGTTCAATGCCAGCCAACTTGGACAGAAAAGTTTGTGAGCCTAGATCCCCAACTAACGAGTAAAATGCTGGACTGGAGTTGTGAGTCAAACAAGAAAGCTGAGCAAAATCATATGGAATCTGCAAAATAAAGAAAGAAAGAAACGAGGAAAGGAAGGCAGGCAGGCAGGCAGGAGAATAAGTACTCAATAAACTTATGGCTATTAATTTGCAAATTAAAATCTTTCTTGAAACTTACATAAGATAGGTTACATCTTCCCATACAGTGTTTATGTTTCTTTAAAAAAAAATAGCCCCGGGGCTGGGAAGGTGGCTGGGTTCGATTCCTCAGCACCACATAAGCAAAAAGAAAAAAGCTGGAAGTTGCACTGTAGCTCAAGTGGTAGAGCGCTAGCCTTGAGCTGAAGAGCTGAGGGACAGCGCCCAGGCCCAGAGTTCAGGCCCCAGGACTGGACCCAAAAAAAAGAAAATAGCCCCATGGGCTGGGAAGGTGGCTTAGTGGTAGAGTGCTTGCCTTGCATTCATGAAGCCCTAGGTTTGATTCCTCAGCACCACATAAGCAGGAAAAGCTGGAAGTGGTGGTATGGCTCAAGTGGAAGAAAACTGGAGCTGAGGGACAGCGCCCAGGCGCAGAGTTCAGACCCCATGATGGACCAAAAAAAAAAAAAAAAAGTCTCATAGTTGGTATAGCATATACATTGTAAATGTAATTCTTACTACTGAATTGTTCTCTTAAAATCTGTATACCTGAAAAGAAAAATTATGCATCTAATATACATAGGTATTAACAAAAAAATTATTGGAATAAAAAGTAAGAGGGCAGCTGAGCATTGTTGGCTTATGTCTGTAATCCTAATTACTTAGGAGGCTAAGATCTGAGGATCATAATTCAAAGCCAGCTCAGGCAAGAAAGTTTATGAGACTTTTATCTCCAATTAGCCACTAGAAAGCAGGAAGTGGAGCTGTGGCTCAACTGGTAGAGTGCTAGTCTTGAGCAAAAAAACAAAGCTCAGGGACAGTGCACAGTCTCAGGATAGGCATACACACACACAAAAAGCAAGAGGGTAAAGCAACAAATGTGAATATGAATTCCCCTGTTGAAGGACAAAAGTTGAAGCTGTGAGAGAAGGTGAGTTCTTTGAGTATAAGGAAAGGACAGAAGGGAACTGTCTTTTGAGATGCTCCACAGTAAGTGTGCAGAACAAGAGGAACTTCCAGCTAGAGGGCAGGGAGAGGGACAAAATAAATTGTTCTCCAATTGTATCCCACACTGGAACTCTTGAAATGCTCACCAAAGCATTGTGTGACCTACAGGAGTGCTCTACAGGGTTTGTCTCTACAAATTCTATAAAAATTTGAGAAAATAAGAAAGTAAGAAAGAGTGTATATTTTTCTTTAAGCTAAGACCTCTACCATTTCCCCCTATTTAACTGATGGGGAATGAGCAAATCTTTTCATTTGGTAGGTCCTTTGATCAAGGTTTTATTTCTTGTGGCTTTCTCTGTAAGCTGGAGAATCATAAAGATTAGTGAGTATAGGGAAAATGTGTCTTTGGAGAATTTCATTGACTTTTTTTTTTTGGGTCCGGTCGTGGGGCCTGAACTCTGGGCCTGGGCGCTGTCCCTCAGCTCTTCAGCTCAAGGCTAGTGCTCTACCACTTGAGTCATAGCACCACTTCCGGCTTTTTTCTTTTTGCTTATGTGGTGTTGGGGAATCGAACCCAGGGCTTCAGGCATGCAAGGCAAGCGCTCTGCCACTGAGCCACCTTCCCAGCCCCTTCATTGACTTTTTATCTTATTGAACTCAGGGCCTCTTGCTTATCAGGCTCTCTACCACTCTATTGAAGTTTCCCCCTTATTTTTGGTGTAAGAATGGTCTAGCTTTATGTCCTGGCTTGTCTAGACTGTACTTCACCTACTTATATTTCCCCAGGTCACTGGGGATGACAGGCTTGTGCCACTGCACCCAGCCATGTACTTCCCCCATAACTGAAATGACAGGCAAACACAACACCATGGCCAGCCATTGGTTGAGATGGAACTTTTGTGCCCAGGCTGGCCTCATAAGTAGCAAGGATTATAGGCTTCAGCTATCAAACTCATCTTTTTTTCCTCCCATTCGCAATGGTTTTCTGAAAAAAGTTCATGTATGTCATTATTTTAATACCTTCACTCCATTGAGAGTACAAGTGGGAGAACAGTTGTCTATTGTTACTGAAGATCCTAGGTTCCATTTACTCTAGGTGATATAACACAGAGATTATCCAATGTCTTCATGCATCATTGTCTCCTCTCTCCGCTGCTTTACCTTATTTGCCTAACTTTCTACATCACTATCTCTCCTTAGCTTTTTCCTGAAACATTCTCAGCTTCTTTCTTGCATAGGAGAAGTAGGATGCTTCCTACTGTGTAGACACAGAGAGGCTAAGTACACAAACCCTTCTTAGGTACTCATGAGGCTGGAGTAGGAGAATGGCTTAGGCCCAGGAGTTCAAAGCCAGCCTGGGCACCAGAACTAGATACTGTGTCAAAAAAAGAAAGGAAAGGCATAAGAAGAAACAGTGAGTCAAGTGTGACATAATTATGGTATGTCCTAGGTTTCTGTTATAGTAAAATTGAATACTGTGGATGGCTTTCATTTTAAAGCTAAGATTAGTTATCCCCTAATATTAGTCTAGTTAACAGATGATTTACTGGCATTTTGACAACCAGTATGTCAACCAGGTCCTCACAGCAACTCCTTTGAGTTTCAGAAGACTATTTCAAGATAAACTTACTGGATATGCTCCTAGTTGAGATTAACTTTCAAATAGTTCCTGAAGTACTCTGCATCATCCACTGTCTCCATAAATTGTTCTATCACAGTTGCTTGTTCTCTGTTTTGCAAGTCTGAAGTGGGAGGAAGGGTGGGAATATTCAGAAAAAGACTGAAAATAAGATCATTGTCAGAAAAATTTGCCTCTGTTTAAAGATGCCAAGAGATGGAAAACAAGATCTTTTCATTTCTTGGTTCCTGGATTTAGCAGAGGAAAACAGGCTTCATCTAATATTGCCATTTTAAAGATATTCATTCATACATACTTTCTTATTTCAATCCTATAGGATGCATGCTGTACAAGGAAACACTACAGAAATATTTAATGAACAATGTAATTATTACGCTGCTCCTGTTATTCAGTTTTGAAAATTAACATGGAAAGAATTATTTGTTCAAATGAAGTATCTTGTCTGTCCTGTTCCCTGTAAGCAAACACTTAAGCTAACAAAGTATGGCAAGGAACTAACCTACCGTGAATACACTCCCAACTTTCTGACAGAGGAAGAATTGTGTTAAGCCCTCTAAGTAAACTAATATCCTCTCAGTCACCTCACAACTATTGAAGGGTTGATTATCCAGTTCCTAGTTTACACAGACTTTTTTGCTTCTCTTTTCTCTCTGTATTTTTTTCTCTCCTTCCTTTCAGTTCAGATCTGATAATTACTTCCGTGGGAAAAAAGGTATTTTCAGAGGCAAATTGGCTGATTCAGTTTTTAAAAAGTTTGCAGTACTTAGGGTCTTAAACTACCAGTTCCTGGGAAAGAATATGGTACACATTAATCAAATTTATTTATTTATTTTGGTCAGTCATGGAGCTTGAACTCTGGGTCTGGGCGCTGTCCCTGAACTCTTCAGCTCAAAGTGAGCGCTCTACCATGTGAGCCGTAGCACCACTTCTAGTTTTCTTGTGGTTTATTGGAGATAAGAGTCTCACAGACTTTACTGCCCTTGGCTGGCTTTGAACCATGACCCTCAGATCTCAGCCTCCTGAGTAGCTAAGATGATAGGTGTGAGCCACCAGCGCCCAGCTTTTTAATTTTTAAATTGTTTTTATTTTTTGTCGGTCATGGGGCTTGAACTCTGCACTGTCCCTGAGCTCTTCAGCTCAAGGCTAGCTCTCTCCTACTTGATCCACAGTGCCACTATCAAATATTACTAATCTTACTTTTAAAACAAAATTATTTAGGGCTTTAAAGTTTACAATAACAAGCCCAGAAGATATGCGGTTATCATATCTTTTTCTCCTTTTTTTTTGGTCAGTCATGGGCACCGTCCCTCAGCTCTTTACCTCAAGGCTAGCGCTCTACCACTTGAGCCATAGCTCCACTTCTGGCTTTTTCTGTTTATGTGGTGCTGAGGAATCGAACCCATGGCCTCATGCATGCAAGGCAAGCACTCTACCACTGAGCCTCCTTCCCAGTCTCTTTCACCTGTCATTGGCTGACTAGTTTTTGTGGAAATAGTAGGAACTACGTGTCCTTCACACAACTTCCTAGTGCTAGGGCCTTGAACATGCTAGGCAAGCACTCTCCCATGGAGTTCTTCATCCCTAGCTGAAATTAAATGACATACATGTATATCACATATGTGTGTGTTCATATATATAATATATATTTATTTCTTTTTTAAGTTGGCTTAGGTTAGTGGAAAGACAAAAAATATATTCTCAGTACAGCAATACAGTGGAAGCCCAGAGAAGGTCTGGAGTTCAAGCTGCTCACAGCAGAGGAGTGTAAAGCTGCTTCACTGAGGAAGACTGGGGAAGGAGGATGAATACAGTCAAAGTATCTTATTTGCATGTGTAAAAATAGAACAATGAAACCTGTTGAAATTGTTTTAAGAAAGGGAAGAAAAGGGAGAGTGATAGAGGGAGTGAAGCTGAATGAGATATTTTATTTACTTGTGTGGAAATGTCACAATGGAGATTTCCCCTTTATGAACTAATATATGCTAATTAAAAAGAGTTGCGTCAGCAAGAACAAAGAGCTATCAAAGAAGAGGAGCGTCTGGTGGCTCCTGCCTGTAATTCTAGCTACTCAGGAGGCTGAGATCTGAGGATAGCAGGTCAAAGCCAGCCCAGGCAGGAACATCCGTGAGGCTCTTATCTCCAATTAACCGCCAGAAAACTGGAAGTGGCACTATGGCTCAAATGGTAGAGCACTAGCCTTGAGTTGAAGAGATCAGGGCAGTGGCCAGGCCCAGAGTTCAAGCCACACAGTGGACAAAAAAAAAAAAAAAAAAGAACAGGAGCTTGGGCTGGAGGTGGCTCTCCCCTGTAGTCCTACCTACTTAGGAGGTACTTAGGAGGCTGAGATCTGAGGATCACAGTTCAAAGCCAAGCCTGAACAGAAAAGTCTGATTTTTTTTTTGGGGGGGGGTCCGGTCATGGGGCCTGAACTCTGGGCCTGGGTGCTGTCCCTCAGCTCTTCAGCTCAAGGCTAGCGCTCTACCACTTGAGCCATAGCACCACTTCCGGCTTTTTTCTTTTTGCTTATGTGGTGCTGAGGAATCGAACCCAGGGCCTCATGCATGCAAGGCACACACTCTACCACTGAGCCGCCTTCCCAGCCCAAGTCTGATAATTTTATCTCTAATTAACCAGCAAAAAGTCAGAAGTGGAGCTGTGGCTCATGTGGTAGAGTATCAGACTTGAGCAAAAAATTAAGGGACAGCACCCGCTCCCAAGCCCTGAGTTCAAGCACCAGTGCCCCAACATACACACACACACACACACACACACACACACACACACACACACACGAAGGCTTTGAAAAGGAGGCTACACACACACACACACACACGAAGGCTTTGAAAAGGAGGCTACACACACACACACACACACACACACACACACACGAAGGCTTTGAAAAGGAGGCTCCACAGTTAGAACATAATTCTTAAAAAAGCAGGCTACCACTATACTTTTGAGAAGCAGGAAATAGGCATGGTGTAAATTCTGTTTGTGAAGGGTTGACCAGGTAGCAGGACTTGAGGAAAGAGCAGTAGGGATGGGTGTCAGCTGTTGTAATTATCTCCATGGCATCTGTTTTCTTGGCTTGGAGTTATGCCAACTTGCAGCAAATCCCGGAATTAATTGATCTCACATCATACTTTGAGAAAATTTTAATTCAGGAGCCAAAGAAAAGGCAGTTTACATATTTCAAGTCTTCGTTATCATGTGCCATACACTGCTAGAGGTATGTAATAGAAACATGATGTTTTATGTTACATAAATCATCTTCCTCTGTTCACAACTATATTGAGGTAGCTACTATTATCCCCATCTAGAGGAGGAGCACCCTGAGTCAGGGAAATTGATTTTGTTCACATAGCCATAGAATGAGACTCAGGTTTCAAACTCACGCCTGGCTTCAAAGCTCTTAGCTTTTCCACTATAGCAAGACTCTTCCAGAGTATATGGGTGAAATAAAATTGTTGTTACACAGCTGGGATGTAGCTTGTAGCTTGGTGGCTGCCAAAAAAGAAAAAAAAGAACTTAAAGCTATTGTTATTTTACTAAGCTGGTGTCAACATTTATTTAGACAGTTGAATTTTGTGATGTCAGCCCCCAAACGCTATCTTTCTTAGACCTAAAATGCTATCTCTCTGTTTAGTTCTTCAGCTATGTATGCAAGAAGCAACCACCACACTCCTTCCATCATTTTCAGAAGACCAGAGGAGGCTGTTTTGTCTCGATCACCATCGTTAGAGGACACAGGATTACCTTCTTATGAACAGGCAGTGGCACTGACCAGAAAACACAATGTCTCACCTCCACCACCATATCCTGGGCCACAGAAAGGATTTAGGGTATTTAAAAAGTCTATGTCGCTCCCATCTCACTAAGCCCACCTCACCATCTTGCTCTAGGAAACACATGTTTTTGAATAGCTTGTTTTCCCTGAACCAAAAGGACAAAAGGTCTGTTTTTAGCTCTTCATTACAGACAGTGAAGAATAAAGGATGAATAAGCACTTGAATGGCATCAGGGATCCATTTGCATCTTGAAGCTGAACTTGATCAGTTGGATAATGATAAGACTTTGACTCCCGATCTTTGAAGATAAAAGAAAAACTACATTTGTGTAATGAGCTTTTGGTTGGTTGGTTTTTGTTTTGTTCTTGGTGCTAAGGATTAAACCCACGACCTTGAGCGACTCCACTATTGAGCTACAGTCACAGCCTCTAAAATATGTATCTTAATGGTTCAAAACCTTTCATGAGGCTGGGAAAATGGCTTAATGGTAGAGTGTTTGCCTAGTATGCATGAAGCTCTGGGTTCTATTCCTCAGTACCACATAAACAGAAAAAGCCAGAAATGGTGCTATGACTCAAGTGGTAGAGTGCTAGCCTTGAGCAAAAGAAGTTCAGGGACAGTGCCCTGAGTCAAGCCCCAGAACTGGAAAAATAAAATAAAACTCAAAACAACCTTCATGACAGCCAGTAATGGTGGCACATGCTTGAAATCTCAGCACTTGGAAGGCTGAGGCAGAAGGATCAAGAATTTAAACTCAGCCTAGGCTATGTAGAGAGAAGAGTTTTTGTTTGTTTTCTTCCTTTTTTTAATAGCAATTTTTTATCGTGATTAAATGATTATAATAAATTTCACAAATTTTACAGTATTGTGAGATAGTCATACTTAGTTAAAGTCACAAACACATTCTAACCTTCATGGGGCAAATTGTCTTTATTGTGGTCTATAAAGTTTATGAGTTCTATGAGCTTTGACAATACAGTTATTTCTTTTCCTTCTTTTTTTAAAAGTTACTTTATTGTTATTATTGAGGTGATGTATGGAGGGATAACAAAAGTCAGGTATTGAGTACATTTCCTTTTAACACATTATCTATCAGCTCTTCCTTCTCTTGCTACCAGTTTTCTTCTGTTTTGTGCTAGAGATCAAACTCAGGGCCCACATTTGCAAGATAGACACTTGAGCCCACAGCCTCCAGCCCTATAAGGTTTGAAGCTAGTTTAAGCTGAATAGCAAGATCCTGTTTCAAAAACAACAAAACAAAAATCTGTTATAAATAGCATAACTGGAACCAGCAAACTGTTTCCTTTGTGCAGATAAAGGTTGTAGATTTCTTGTGTTGAACATTAAAAAGTTAAAGATTTCTAATCATTAGCTTATGTCCAGCCATTACTAATGGACCTTCTCTATTAGGATTTCTTTTTTATTGGAAATGCATGTCAGAATTTGACATTTCAAATTTTGTGGCCTTAATAAAATCACTTTTTAAAATATTTTAAATTAAGCTGGGCACCAGTGGCTCACACCTATAACCGTAGCTACTCAGGAGGCTGAGATCTGAGGATCATGGTTCAAAGCCAACCCTGGGCAGGAAAATCTGTGAGAATCTTTTTTTTTTTTGGATCCGGTCGTGGGGCCTGAACTCTGGGCCTGGGCGCTGTCCCTCAGCTCTTCAGCTCAAGGCTAGCACTCTACCACTAGAGCCACAGCGCCACTAACGGCTTTTTTCTTTTTGCTCATGTGGTGCTGAGGAATCGAACCCAGGGCCTCATGCATGCAAGGCAAGTACTCTACCACTGAGCCACCTTCCCAGCCCCTCTGTGAGATTCTTATCTCCAATAAAATTCCAGATAACTGGAAGTGGCACTGTGGCTCAAGTGGTGGAGCTCTTGCCTTGAGCTAAAGACCTCAGGGATATAGCACGTAGGCCCAGAGTTCAAGCTCAAGCCCCACCACCACCACTACCAACTACACACACACACACATGCATACACACACACATATATATTAAATTATTATATAGCATTACCCATATTTTTCAGGTCCCAGTTCTTATCTCTCACTATCAGTGATATGTCAGTACTGTGAGTGGAGTCAGTAGGGTGTTTTGTTTGTTTTTGGTGATACTGAGGATTGAAATCAGGGCCATGGTCTTGCTAAGTATTACCATTTGAGCCACACACCCAGCCAGCCTCTTTCTTCTAAAAAATACTCCTTGCTAAACTGAATGTGGTAGTACATGCCTACAATCCCAGCACTTGGGAGACTAAAGCAAGAATATCATGAATTTGAACCAGCCTGGGCTAACAAGGAGAACTGACTAAAAAAATTCCTACTTGCTATAAAGTTACTCTTTCAGGTTTGTAGGTACAATATAAGGATTTGCAAGGGTTGTTAGCAAGTAATAAATCTTTAATCTATGAGTGATTAAAAGATTTATAAAGTTGCCTATGTTACTATGAATGGATTCCCATTTTATAATTACAATTAATAATGATCAATTCTGTCTATGTAACTATGATTATTGATCTGGAAAATTCATTGAAATTCATAAATTCATATAAAATAGTTTGAGGATCTAAAAAGAGTTTCCTTTTTCTGAGTACTTACTTTATTGGAGATAACAGGCCAGTTGCCTGTGGCTGATGCCTGTAATCTTAGCTACTCATGAGGCTGAAATCAGGATTGTGGTTCAAAGCCAGTTCGGGCAGGAAAGTCTGTGAGACTCTTAATCTCCAATTAACCACTAGAAAACCAGAAATGGCACTGTGGCTGAAAGTGCTAGAGCACTAGCCTTGAGAGGTAAAACTTAGGGACAGCACCCAGGCCCTGAGTTTAAGCCCCATGACCAAAAAAGAAAATAAAAGAAAAAAAAAATTCTCATGGACTATTCTGCCTACAGTGGCTTTGAATCATGATCCTGATCCTCAGGTCTCAGCCTGCTGAGTAGCTAGGATTAAGGAGTGAGCCACCAGTGCCCAGCATCCTTTGTATTTCCAAATTTGTCTTAGCAGAAAACTCCATAGGTAATCATCCTAACTTTTGCTCTGTTTATTGAATATTGACCAGTTTTTCCTTAAGAATGTAGCAGAGAGTCTAGGAGTAAAACTCAATGGGAGAGCCTGTGCTTAGCATGTGCACAAGATCCTGGGTCAGATTCCCCAGCAACCTGCAAAATGTAGCAGAGTAGAAGCTCCAGACTTCTAAAATGAAGTACACTAATGTGTATGGATGGGTATGTATGTGTATGTGACTTTCTCTTTGAAGTAAAAATAGATAACATGCACTTGGAAAATATACTAGAAGACAGAGTTCTTCAGTTTTTGCCAGGCCATTGCATTTTCCTATTATTTAAAATAATGGTGTGTGTGTGTGTGTGTGTGTGTGTGTGTGTGTGTGTGTGTGTGTGTGTGTGTGTGTGTGTGTGTGTGTGTGTGTTGGTGTGTTGGTCCTGAGGCTTGAACTCAGGGCCTGTGTGCACTGTCCCTGAGCTTCTTTTGCTCAAGGCTAGTGCTCTACCACTTGAGCCATAACTCTACTTCTGGGTTTTGGGGGGACAGTTTATGAGATAAGTTTATAAATAATATTCTCATGGACTTTACTGCCTAGGCTGGCTTCAAACCACAGTCCTCAGATCTCAGCCACCTTAGAAGCTAGGATTACAGGTGTGAGCAACTGGTGCCTGAATATAAATTGTTATTTTGTTTTATAGTTTTTACTGAGGGGAGATATTAAGCTCATATCCATTTGATCATTTCTTACAAATAAAATGTTTAGAAAAATATACATCATATACTAGCACATTTGAGAATGTGTGTGTGTGTGTGTGTCTGTCTGTCTCTCTCTCTCTCTTTAAGGCAGCATGGTTTTCCAGGCATGGTAGAGCAGGTCTGTAATCCCAGAACTTGGAAGGATGAGGAACGGGAGGCTGGGGTCAGACTGGGCTATTTAGTGAGATCTTGTCTCTCCAAAAACAAACAACAAAAGAGCGTTTTCTTTATTTGGGCAAATGAAAGTAATCATTAGAAACTGTCAAACACTTATCTTTTCATATTCTCAGAGTCTCTTGGCTTGTCACATATAAAAGCATAAAGCCTATAAAATTCTGTTCTTAATCATACTTTGACTTTTTATAAGCACCTGATAAATGAATTTTCTCACAGTTAAAATAGGCAAATACACTTTTCTAGTCCTATCTGAGACTGCACCTAGGGGCAGAATTTATATGGGCTCTAATAATCTAGTGCTCATTAGTGAATTCAAAATACATGAGAGAAATTTACAAGCACTTCTCATATATACATACGTGTATGTATGTTCATATATATGATTTTCATATACCTGGTGAAAAATACATAGAATAAATAGAAATATAAAACATTTTATTTTCTGAGGTGCTAGGAATCCAGTGCAGGGACCCACATGTTAGGACTTTACCACTGAGATAAACCTCTAGACTCGTATTTTCTACTGATGTATAGTCTGAAAATATTCTCTGAATTCATTTACTTCTACTGACTCCCAAAAATTGAACTAGCTTCAGAACCTATGATGACCTCATCCTGTCCTTACGGCAATTCCAAATTTGTTATCTGCCATTATTAAGTTCAGAACAGTTGCTCTTGGGGCCGGGAAGGTGGCTCAGTGGTAGAGTGCTTGCCTTGCATGCATGAGGCCCTGGGTTCGATTCCTTAGCACCATATATGCAGAAAAAGCCGGAAGTGGTGCTGTGGCTCAAGTGGTAGAGCATTACCCTTGAGCTGAAGAGCTGAGGGACAGCGCCCAGGCCCAGAGTTCAGGCCCCATGACTGACAAAACAAAACAAAAAACAACAAAAAAAATTGCTCTAACTTGAGTTTGACACTCAATAAAATTGTGATGTTAGTGTTCATAGAGCATCCAATGTTGAGATCATTATTTATGATTGTTAATGTAAAAAGGGAAATGTGATAGAACCATTGCTATTAATTATATAATCAAAAGGAAAATATCTCAACAATAACATTACTGACTTATATTTCTGTTACTCTAGACATTCACCTTTTTCCATTTTCTATTCCTGTTGTATTTGGTGATTTGTTTGTTGTTTGTTTTGAGTGATGTATTTGTGTGCATGTATGCATCCCAGGCAAAGTGATTGGTGTCAACCATTACATCTATTTTGGTACAAGGTTTTATGATTAGGTCACTTTTATACTATGTTACAATCAACAAATGGATGGAATATTGATATAAAAAATTGATTTGGAAGCCGGGCGCTGGTGACTCACGCCTGTAATCCTAGCTACTCAGGAGGCCGAGATCTGAGGATCTTGGTTCAAAGCCAGCCCGGGCAGGAGAGACCATGAGACTCCTATCTCCAATAAACCACCAGAAAACGGAAGTGGCGCTGTAGCTCAAGTGGTAGAACACTTGCCTTGAGCTGAAGAGCTGAGGGACAGCGCCCAGGCCCAGAGTTCAAGCCCCAGGACCGACCAAAAAAGAAAAAATTGATTTGGAAGAGATGAATACACATTT